CCTGTTTGTCCCCTGGGTCTAATTTTCTTCCATAAGTATTCACAAGTGATATTTTCCACAAATGGGGGGGGGTGGGTATCTTCTTCTATAAAAGAGAGGAGGAAGCAGAAGTCTGGATGCCCAGGCTGCCATCCTGGCACTGGACCCCAGGAAGCAGCGGGGTACAGTGGGTAAAGGACACTCCCCTGCAGGCCCAACTGGACCCCTGAGTGATGCCACTCTACTGGCCAAGGTCGTGCCATGTGCTCAAAGCCCTTTTAAAATCAGGGAACAGACTCTGGAAGGACTGGGAAAATGCACCCAAATCCGCACCTAACTCCCCAGCTCCCCGTCCTCCCTTTCGCTGGGGGTCCCCTTTCACCACGACCACCAGTGGTTGGGGTGGACCCCACGTGGGCATTGCAAACAGGAGAATCCCTTTTTCTCTGCTGCTCTCCCCTGCCCCCCAAACTCCAGAAGCCTCAATTAAGACAGACGCTGGGTCTACGCTTAGGGAATTGGCAACAGAAAGAAGCTCCAGATTCTAATTAACTTCACTTTTTAACTACAGATGAGCCACATTTTGAGTTAACTGGGGGCGAGAGTCTGAAAGATTAATGTGGAGATGGCAGGAGACCAGGGGCCAGACACCCATGTCATTAGACTCTTCCTTGAGAGGGAAGAGATCAAGGGATCCAAGGGAGGGAAGACTATGCCCCTACCTGGAAATTCTCCCTTCGAGGAGGAACTCTTTCTAGAGTTCTCCTGTTTGCATAATTTAACTTTTCCCCCTTGTTTTTAGTTGCATCTTATTTTTTTTTTCCTGGCTATTGCCATCCTGGTCTTGTCCCTATTCACCATCTTATCTGATCACATCTAAAAATGCTGAGTGCCAGATTTGGATGGGAAGAGCCAAACAATTTCTGGAAGGTTGGTGGCTGGGATGTGGGTGGGCAGCTGGGAGAAGCTCCTACTATGTCTCGGTGATGTGTCCGTGTGGGGACAGGGAGAAGTGGTGACTGAGGGCGCTAACACACTTCCCTCTTACAGAGCTTCTGGAGCATGGCCAGGACTTAAAGAGGGTGGGGTGGGGAGAGCCGAGATGCTTTGCTGCCCCAAGCTTGGGAGCTTTTCAACAGGAGCAGCTCCTTTGGGCTGTAGCAAGTAGAGGGATAGGAATGCAATTTCTCTGCTCTGATTGTCTAACCATGGTGAAAGGAATTCACTCCAACCCTCCCCTGTGTTTCAGGACTTACTATACCTGGGCCTTGCAGGAGCACTCAGGGAACTGCTTTGTCCTCCCTCCGTGCCACCAAGCAGTTGTGGGAGGTTGAGCAAATGATTCCATCTCTTTGTGTCTGTTTCTCACCCGTGAGAACAAACTCTGATTGAGCCTCTATTACACGTGCCCAGGCGCTGTGGTAGAGACTTGCAGGGAGCTGTCTTAACTAATTCACTTCCTTTTTCCCCAAACAATGGGGTATACTGTGTATCACGCCAGAACTTCCCAGAGCAGTTTCGGTATGTCTCTGGAATCCAGGCAGGACGGATTTCAGTGGTTTGTGCCATTTCAAAGAAATTGGATTTTTCTCTTGTCTCCAGAGGAACCAGCATGCAACATTCTCAATCTGAACCCCAAACCTGATCACTGGTTCCCACTGCTGGTGGGTCCTTGTGGTTGAGCTCATCTTCCACTCAGACTGGTGCAGGAGAGAGGGAAGCCTGCAGAACTGGGCCCGGGAGCAGGGCACCCACTGGGGGGGAGGGGTATGCAGCCACCCAAGCCTGTCTGTCCCTTGGAAAAGCTCCTTGGTGGCATGGCCCTGTGAGGTCATTACCCCCCAGACGCGTGTGCTAGGGATACAGCCCTCCCCAGCCAGGATGGCTGGCAGAGAACTCCCAGCCCCTGTCTGCCCATCCAAAGTCCCACCGGAGGCTCATTTCTCACCTTGGGAAACCCCATCCTGTAGTAGGTCAAGGTTGGCCCTGCTAGGGGCTTCTCAGGCCCCATCTGCGCCTGGGATTACAAGCCACCCTGGGTTGTCTTAAACTGCTCCGTTCCCTAGCTCCCTACTGCGGCCTGGGGTGGGAGGAGTAGGGAGGCAGAGGCCTGAGCCCCGAGTTTGCCCTGGCTCTGGATCTCTCCTTGAGATACCAGTGAGCAGAAATCCCAACAGCATTGCTGAGTACCAGGGGTGGGGGAACCAGAGTGGGGTGGGGCTTTCACGAGGGAGCTCCTGGTCTCTGGTTCTGGTCACCCAGGCTCTTCCAAGATTGCTGGGATCCTCCCCGGTTTTTCCGCTTGCCTGTTCCCTGGTGATGCTGGGGTAGGGGGTGCTCCTGGGGGCTCCCACGGGCAGGCGGCTGCCTCATGCGCTCACCTGCAACGCTCCACGGAGGCTGCGCCCGCCCGCCTGGGTGAGCAATTAGGGCCACCAAGGAGGGGACCGCTTTTGTGCATCCCACCCTGGCCCTCTGAGCCGCTCGCACGCCCTCCGCCGCGCCCCCGGGCGCCAAGGGCTTCACCCGGGCTGTGGCGAGCCGGGTGCGAGCGGCTGCCACGACGTCCGACGCCCCGGGGCGCCGCGGCCGCGAGGCTGTGCAGGGGCGTGTGCGCGGCCCAGCGCCTCGCCCTGAGCTTCGGGTTCCTCGCCGCCCCCGCGGGAGCGCCACGCGCCCGGGCCGGCCGAGCGCCCGAGGGAGGCGCGCGCGAGGGCGTCGGGGCGTTTCGCGGACGGGGCTCCCGGTGCGGCCCAGGAGCCGGGAAAGCCCCGCTCACCTGCCCCGGCGGGCGGGGAACTCCGACGGGAGGCAGCCGGACGGGCACGGACGCGCTGGGCAGGAGCCCAGAGTCCGGCGCGGCCAGTACCGGGCGACCCCCGCCCGGACCCCCAGGCCGGCGCCCCGCCCTGGCCGGCGAGTCCCGGGAGCGCGGGGCGGGAGCTGCCCCGCCGGACCGGCGCGCTCACTGCGCGGGTGGCGCTGGCCGGGCCCGGCGCCCGTGCGAGCTCGGCCGGGGCCGCGTGCGCCCGCTGCGCGGCTCCGCGGCGGCCGGGGCGGGGGCGCGAACCCCACGCCGAGGGGGCGGCCCAGCCGGGGAGGGTGAGCAGCCCGCGCGCCCCGCGCCCCGCGGCCACCGGCGTCCAGCGCTTCGTCCGGCCTGGGGGGGAAGAATTTGCCGACGGTGCCCGCGCGGCCGCCTCGGCCCCGCCCCCCCGCCCGACGCCCCCCTCCCGGACGTCACGCCCCGCCCCGCCCCGCCCGCGCCGCCCGCCCCGCCCCGCCCCGCCCCCCCGCCCGCGCCGCCCGCCGTCCGGGCCCCCCCGGGCGCGCCCCTCGCCGATGCCCCGCTCCAGCCCCGGCCGCGGGGCTGCCCTCAGGCCCCCGCGGGCTCGCGCCGCCGCCCGAGGCTCGCGCCGCCCGCCCTCCGGGACCCGCCCGCCGCGTCCCCGGGCGACCGTCTCCGGGAGCGCGGCCCCCGCCCCGGCACCGACACCGGTACGAGCCCACCTGTGCGGCGCCGCGGGGTCCCGGCGCCCCGCCGCACCCGCTTTGTCCCCCGGGGCGGGGGCCGGGGCCGGGCCGCGGGCGCGGGGCGGGCGGGGCGGCGCGCCGGACCCGCGGGAGGCCGAGGAGGGCGCGCTCGCCCTGCGCCCCCCCGGGGCCGCCCGCGCTCCCCAGCCCCGCGCGGCCGCCCCCCTTTGTGCCTGCGGGGTCCGGGTGTGGGTGTCCGCGGCGCGCCCTTGGGGGCGCGCCGGGCCCGGGCGAGGACGCGCCTGTCCGGGGAGCTGTTTACTCGCCGCTGCTCCCCGCCCCCCGCGGCGCCTCCCGGCCGCCCCGGCCGCCCTTGACCCCCGGCCGGAGGGCGCGGCACGGGCCCCCGGGCCGGCCGGCGCGAGCCCCCGAGCCGGAGCCGGACCCTCCTCCCGCCGCCGCCCCGCGAGCGCCGCCGCGGCGCCTCCCGACCTGGATTCCTGCGCGGCCCCGCCCCGCGCCCCGCGCCCCGCGCCCCGCGCCCCGCGCCCCGCGCCCCGCGCCCGCCCCGCGCCCCGCGGCCCCGCGCCCCGCGCCCCGCTTTGTCTCTCCGCCCCTTCCAGCGCCCCTCCCCGCGGGCCGCCGGCGCGCCCCGGCCGGCTGCCCGTCTCCTTCCTCCGCGGCCAGAGGCGAAGTTGTTCCTTCGCCGGGCGCCCTCCCGCGTCTCTCGTGGGGCGCCCGGGGAAGCCCTTGCCACCCTCCTTTGGACGCCGAGCGGAGGGGCCCCCAGACGCGCCTTCCCGGGCTCCCCAGCCGGGTCCCGGGGGCGTCTCCAGAGGCCACCTGGCCGCGGGCTCGGGAGTCGTGGTGGAATCGACACGGTTCCCGGTGACTTCCTGGGGCCGGGCTTTTTGTCTCCGTGAAGCCAATGATTTCGGTTCTTTGCTCGTGGGCGCCCCACCCAGCCTGGTGGGTGCCTCGTGGGTTCGGGGCAGGAGCCCCTGCCTTGGAGGTCGCTGTGCCGGGGCCCAGGGGGGCCAAGGGTGGAGCCACTGCTGGAGCCCGGCTGGCCTTCAGGTGTCTCTCCCTTCAGAAGCCGCCCCCAGGGGACGGAGAAACACCCCAGAGGCAGGGAGTGGGCCCCGCCCTCTTGCCCGCTTTTCCATTCCAGCCGGGAGGGGGGAACTTTCCCCGAGGACGCCACTGGGTGTCGGCGGGAGCCTCAGGTTCCCCAGCCTGCTTTTGTGGCCACTGAGCGGAGCTGGGACCAGGCTCGGCTCAGATCACTTTGCTGCCAACAGCCCAGCGAACTAGAATGACCTGAGTCATCTGTCTGCGGACTGTCCCTGCCTTGGACCCTGGAGCACGCCTGGGGTTGGCTTCAGAGCCACCAAAGGGAGCAAGGGGGGTGGCACCAATGCAGAGGATGGGAAAGACACCCCCCCCCCAAGCAGCATGCAACTGAGGCCAAGTGGTGGCTTTTGAGTAAAGTCTGGTTGGAGGAAGCTCAGTTTCCAAGATTCTCTTTTTACGTTTTTTTCTTTCAGATGGATGAGGAGCTCAGAGGCCGCCAAGGGCAGAATGAGCGTCATCATCGATTTTACAGCATCTGATCCGTCAGGAAGAGACGCTTCTGCTGCAGGTCTTTCTTATTCCACCCCAGAGAGGTAGGTGGGGGGGACGGAGACCAGCGTGGGGAAGAAGAAGAGGCGCTGTCGTGCTCAGGGGTTAAGCATGTGAACAAACCCCGCGCCGCCTGCCTGTGGGGCCACAGGAGACCCTCCCTGTAGGGCTGAAGTCTTCCAAAGGAAGAGAATGACCCAAATCAGTGTGAGGCGCCGGGGAGGGGGGAAGTGAACTAGACCTCGGTCAGCTTCCCAAGAGAGGATGCTGCTGCCTGGGAAGGAGGGCATGGCTTGGCTGTGACACACCCCAAGCCGGTTATTAAGTTGCAGTGTTTGGCGTTTGGCTTGTTCCGGTCGTGGTGGAGCGGGCTGGCCTATGTGGGGGAGAGGAGTCAAAATATTCCTCAAAGGAAGTGGACTGAGTGTTTGCAAGTCGCTTTTATTTCTCAAGGAGTCCTTAGGTGGAGACACGGTTTCTCCTGAAAGTTAACAGTCGCTATCAGTAATAGGATCTTAAACTTCTAGAATGTTAGTTTGGAAGATGAAGGCTGTTTTTTCATCGTGCAAACGAAGACAGAGGTCGCAGATGGACAGGGGCTGGGCATTGGCTAAACACCCCCCTCTGGAGTCCAGAGGTAGCTGGGCGTGCCTAGCGAGCTCCCAGATTGCTGGGCCTGCAGTCCCCTTTGCGCGCTCTGTGGGTACACGTGGGTGTTGGGGGTGCTGGGGGTGCAAGGCGCGATTCTCGTTGTCCCAACACTGGAGCAGCAACATCACTTCAGGAAGGGAAGGGGCATGAGCTTAGGATGGGGTGTCATCCTGGGAGGCCTCCCCACCTCCTTTTCTCTAGATCTTTGCTGCTACTTTCTGAAATTCACTGTTGAGGGGGGTCTCTTTTAAAAGGTCAAAATATTAAATTTAATCTATAAATCACATAAAAGCAGAGAACCACCGTGGTAGAGGTAGAGTCAGGCGCAAAATTCCATTCAGCACCCTGTCCCACTCCCGCCACCCTCAGAAGGGTGAATCCTGGACTCCCCGAAACAAGGTGAAAACCATGGAGGTTGTAGACCTGTGAGGAGGGCAGGGCTTGTTTCTTCTGCATAACCGCTTCTTGTTTCAGAAGCGCTCTTCCAATGGTAATTAGTCCCCATGCTTTTTACTTACACAAAATGCCCATTTACTGGCAGAAGTTTGCAAAATACAAAAAGAAATTGCAAGAACTTGTTTATAGTCACCCCCATAGTCCTAGAGAGTCTTCTGTGTGTCCCCCGCTGAGAGCAAGGGGGAGCACTTTTGAGACTTGATTTCTCCTTATGGTCAGATATTACCACGGGCCTCCGCGCGAACATGCTGACTGGACACGCGTGTCTATCTCTGTTCCGTTTCAAAATGGGATTAAAGGGGTGTGAGCAAAACTTGTGAAAAGTGGAAAACGGTGAAGAGAAGCCACTTAAAGATTGCCACGGGCTGTGGGGGAGCAGGCCGATGTGTCCTCAGAACCCACCACAGACTTGAGAACTGGGCCTCCAGTGTATCCCTGCAGATGGGGGACAGGATGGGCTGGAAACAGGAAGGTGGGTTGAAAGCATGTATTAATTAGATCCACAGATTCCCTCTCAGCTCATGTGGCCATGTGGCTCCGTCCTCTGCCCCAGCAGAGAGTGGCTGGCTTCCTGGAGGCAGTGTTCTCTTAGAGGGGCTCGGGCAGGGTGGTGAGAGGGCAGCTGAGAACAGGGGCAGGACATCTTTTTTAGTAGCTTCCTTCAAAGGGATACGAAAGGTGGGGAGGGTGACATTTTTGAAAATTCATGTATCTTTAAAAATCTTTCTTAAGCCAAGAAAGGCCAACAAATGGTGCAAAGTGCAATGTCTCTTATTCTCTTTTGACTCAGCTCCTAATGACTTTCTGTATTTCAACTATGACTTTAAGTCTTGGGAGTGAGGAGAAAAAACAAACACCCACTCCACCACGGGAATTGAAAAGTACTCACTTCTAAGCCTGTCTTATAGTTAGGGCCATAGTCTGGGCTCCATTGATGAGATGACAGGGAAGGGACGAGGGATGGAGCAGAGGCTCTATCCATATCAACAACACTAAAGGGCAGAAAAGTCAAGTTCTTGGCACAGAAATGGCAACAACACAAACTGGCACCAGTACTCAACAGTAGCAGCTTTGCCATCAGACGTGATTTTGTATTGTGATCTCCACATAGCATACTACAATTATATTTCTTTTTTTTTAAAGATTTATTTATACAAGAACTGGGGTATAGGCCAGAGGCATGGGAGGGTGAGAGGATTCACTAGAGACAGAGCAGGGAGCAGAACAGGCAGACGGACTGAAAACACCGCTGAGGGGAGCAGCAGGCGAGATGAGACAGGAGAGGTCATGCGACATTTGCCGCACCATGTGGGTATCTCCTTGGCCGGCCAGGAATTGAACCGGCGCCGCAGAGGCTGCTGACAGCTTCACAGTGCTGCGCTCAACCCACTGCACCACCGGGGAGGCCCGCATACTACAATTCTATTTCTTTTCTTGCTCAACTTTCTGTTTTTCCTGAAGTTGATAGTTGCCTCATTTTTTTTAATATAAAACCTTATTGATTCACCAGTGCCTCATCTTTTCGTTTGCTTTATTTTTGATGTATCAGTGACTAAATTTTCCTCAGTTCTCCAATAGAACTATGAAATTCCTCACAGTGCTAATATCAGCTAATCTCTCAGCTTCTTTCCTGCTTGATCAGTGAGAGTTTACGACTTTCCTTGCAACCAGGAACTCTGACTGAGAGAGAGTGGTGAATAGAATTCCTGTGAAAAGTCCCAATACTACTCCCGGACAGTTGGTCTAGAAAGCAACGAGCCCAATTTGGAGCAAGATAGCTGAGGCCCTCAGGAGGAAGAGTGCCAAGAAAAAACCAAAAATGGAGCCGATAGGTTATCTGATGTTTTTTTTTTTTTTAGTATATGTGCTGCCGAAGCGAGCACAGGTTATCTGATGTTTTTGATGTATTATAAGTTTTATAGTTTTATTGCCATGTGGAGAAGAGTTACATAGTTGTACATAGAAAAGAAAATTTAAAATAAGGCAACTTTTATTTTAGGAACTATAGTTAACTCTAGGAATAACAAAAATTTGAACAAGAAAGGAAATAAAATCAGAGTACACCATATGGCTTAACTTTGAACAATATTTACATAGTCATGATGACATAAGCACCAAAGACTCATTAGCAAAAAAGTGATCACGTAGCTATATTCAGAAGGTGGTAGACAGGCTGTGTGTGTATTTATGTGTAGGAATGTATCAACTCACCTACGGGAAGAAGTTAAATGTAGACAAGAAATATAAGTGTAATCCTGTTATTCAGAAATGTAGATATTAAAAACTCCCTAAGTCAACTGAAACTGGTTGGTGGTAGTATGTTTGGTTGTGGAGGTCAGGGAATAGCTCAATGTTTTTTCCCCCGCAGCATTTTAGTTCTAAATTATATTTTAAAATCAGGTGCTGATTTTAAACTTTCATAAGAATTAAAGCATAAGACGTGTTACTATGAAGAATGCCATCATCCACGCATAACCTTGCTATTTTCTTTTATTTCATGCTTGTTACCCTAAATGTGTGCATTTCGGTTTCACTTAACGTGGGGAATGTTGCTGGGCTTGTGGTACACACAGGTGGCATTTTACAGACAGTATCCACTGCCACTGTATATGCACATTTACTGTCACTTATTTTCAGTTTATCTTTTTCACCCACAGTACCACAATGAATAACTTGGCATGTAGCTTTTAACAAAAAAATTTACCTTCCTTCCTTAGGACAATCCCTAAATTTCCATAATGACCAGATTTGAGTCCTTGGGTCTTTCTCCTGGTTTTTAAAAAAATTAATTGATGGGGGGCCTCCCCGGTGGCGCAGCGGTTGAGCGCTGGGTTGAGAAGCTGCCAGCGGCCTCCGCAGCGCCGGTTCGATCCCCGGCTGCTCCCCGGCCACCAGAGGAGGGTCCCACATGGCGCGCAGACCTCTCCTGCCGCGCCCGCTGCTCCCCTCAGCAGTGTACCTCGGTCCTTCTGCCTGCTCTGCTCCCCGCTCTGGCTCTGGTGAATTCTCTCACCCTCCCGTGCTTCTGACTGTACCCAGTGCATGTATAAACAAGCAAAGCAAACAAACAAATAAATAAATAAACATGCCTCTATTAAAAAAAAATTAATTGATGGTTATTTTAATTTAGGGGTTACATTTTTAACTCCTCCATATGTGTACTTGTTCCAGTCACACACTGAACCACTGTGCCAATACCCTGTCTACTTCTTTCCCTGTCCTCTTCTCCCTCCTCCCTGTTCCCGCTGATAACCAGTAAATTTTTTCATTAAATCTAAGATTTGTTTTTCCTGTATTTTGCCTGTATATGTTTTTTGATTATTTATATTCCACAAATGAGTGAAACCATCTGTTATCTGTCTTTCACTTCCTGAGTTACTTCATTTAACAAGATCACCTACAGGTCTATCGAGTTCATCACAAAGGACACAATTTTATCATTTTTAACAGCTATATAGTATTCCATTGAATCTATATTCCACAATTTCTTTACCAGTCATCTGTTGATGGGCACTTAGGTTGGTTCCATGACTTGGCAATAGTGGACAGTGCTTCTGTGAACAAAGGGGTACATAAGTCTTTCAGTATTAGAGTTGTCATGTTTTTTGGATAAATACCTAGCAGAGATGTTGCTGGATCCTCTGAAGTTTCCGCTTTTCTTTTCTTAAGAAATCTCCATACCAGGCCTCCCCAGTGGCGCAGCGGTTGAACACTGGGCTGCGAAACTGCCCGCACCCTCTACAGCGCTGGTTCGATCCCCGGCCCCCGGCGAGGGTCCCACATAGCGTGCAGACCTCTCCTGCCGCCCGCTGCTCCCCTCAGCAGTGTACTTCGTCAGTCTGCCTGTTCTACTCTCCGTTCTGGCTCTGGTGAATTCTCTCACCCTCCCGCACTTCTGACCGTACCCAGTGCTTGTATAAATAAATAAATAATCTTT